ATAAATTTTGCAGAACATACAATGTATTTGTTTTTAAGGAGGAGGCTTTTTCAATTATCCAAAGAATACAAAACTGGCAATCGAGCAGGTTCAGAGCAGTTCTATTAGCTAGGAAGGACCATTCTATATTTTGTAATAGGGATAAGGAATGCTGAATGAAATGAATGTGATGGTGTCTAGAACTGAAGACATGCTGAAAATGAATTTATATTCTGTACAATCAGATGCACATACTATTTGAAAAAAAGAAATAGGTGTGTACACAACGGAAAATAGTTTTTTCGACGAAAAAAGAATGAAATAAGTAATCCAGTCTTATAGCCATGATAACGGGTGAAAATGATAATTCAGTACAGGCTAAACCTCTTCCTAAAAAGCCCAAGCCTTACCACAGAAATAAAGAGGTCGTCTAAGTGATTTTGATCCTTTCGTCTTGTTTTTGTAGATTTAAAGGACATGTCTTAAATATAACCTTTGATCTCTTGTGGAGAGTTGTGTCATTGGCACCTTAGACCTTGGGTCACATTGAAGGTCATTTAATGCTGGATAGTTTTTGCATCATATCCATTAAATAGTAGTTACAGTTTTTGGGTTATCTAAATAACATAGTCGAATTTCTTAAGAAAAAAACAAAAATGATACATTTTGGTTTCCTTAGCAACCATCCAAGCACCCTGAATCCCACACATGTTGTTGTAACTTATTGACTAGAAACATTAATACTTGATATGTATAAGCACAACTTAAATGGAGATGGATGCAAAACTGTATATTTTGTTCATGCAAAATGTGTATAATTTGCCTTCACAAATACAATGAAAAGTTACCCCTGCTCTTGCGGTTGTGACAATATTCAGCAAAAATATTTTTTATATATGACATTGCTGTTATGTTTGTTAAGTATCATGTTTCTGAAAAATATTAACAAATATCATTAAATAAAAATTGGTATTGCTTCAGAATGCCTGCAAAGTTGGTTTTTTTTCAATGCTAAATTCATCAAAATGTACTGGAAAACTCATTGATTTGGTTGCCATGGTTACAGAGAATTGCTTTTAATATCTTCATCAAACTTTCATGGAATGTAATGAACATGTAATGAACATTAGACATGGTCAAGAATTGCATCTGAAGATAAAGGTTGATTGTTTTATACTGACAGCAGCAAACCCAAGAATAAAACAAACATCTAAGATACTTATAATTTGGTTCGCTAGAAGTGTGTTTTGGCTACATAAGACTCATCAGTGGCGCATGAATCAAAACAGTAAGAAATCAAATATGAAGTTGAAGAACATAAAAATCAGGGTTTAGTTTAACCCTCTAGGGTTTTTTGTTAAATTGAATTGTGCCAATCGTTGTCTTAAAATTTCTTTTAAGTACCGGGTATATTTGTTTAAATGCATCAACATATGTCAACAGTCAGTAAATTTGCAGGTCATCTATTTTTTAAAACTCAATAGCTTGAAAAAAGAAAAAAAATATATATAAAAGAATGTTTATCAAACTTCATAAGCAGTGTATACCAACAGAAAAAAGAAGATATACAAATTATGACACAAATTCTAAAAGAAATTATAAGTGCAAAAATGCTGCAATAAATTGCACTCCCTTTAAAATGTCTTTCCATGCACAATCCAGGTGAAAAACTGGATAATTTCAAAAAAGCTGGCAGGTATATTCGTTTTAAGGTTATGGATAAGTTTTAATGACCACTGCCACATGTGTCTCTGAGGACATAGTCTTTCTGTCTGTGCCAAAGAAGTAAAAAATTGTAACGCAAGATACCATTTTCCCCTAAGCTTTCATGCATGGTAGAAATCTTAATCTTGACCACGAACGTCATTTAAATTTCTGCAGTTTTGGAAGACGTCTAGGACTTTAACATGTTTGGCAATATGAACCCTAAAGCCAAAGAAAGAACCTATTTGCATTCGTATTATGTTATTGTATTGTCTGCATCTTCGTTGGAAGAAATTTTGGTTCGCAGACAATAACTTGAGTATAAGTGCATGGATCTCTATGAAATTTTAGCACAAGGTTCAGGTTCCATACCACTAAAGGATGGTTGGGATTGTTTTTGGGGGCTATTGTCCTAGTGGTTTTGTAATTAGGGGCCAAAAAAGGTCAATTTTACTGGTTCATAGAAAATAAATTGGTTCACAGACAATAACTTTAGTATAAGTGTATAGATGTGTAAGAAATTTTAGCACAAGTTTTCACAGCACAATAGAAAGGTTGGGATTGATTTTGGGGGTAATTGTCGTAGCTGTTTTGTAATTAGGGGCCAGAAAGGGGCTAACAAAAACAATTATTTGTCTGGTTCACAGACAGTAACTTGAGTATAAGTGTATGGATCTCTATGAAATTTTAGCACAAAGTTCCATACCACTAAAGGATGGTTGGGATTGTTTTTGGGGGGTATTGTCTCAGCAGTTTTGTAATTAGGGGCCAAAAAAATTCAGTTTTACTGGTTTGTAGAAAATAAATTGGTTCGCAGACAATAACTTTAGTATAAGTGTATGGATCTGTATGAAACTTTAGCACAAGGTTCCATACCACAATAAGAGGGTTGAAATTGTTTTTGGGGGTTATTTTTGTAGCTGTTTTTTAATTAGGGGCCAGAAAGGGGCCAAAAACAATTATTTGTTCTGGTTTTAAGACAATAACTTGAGTATAATTGTATATCTCTATTAAATTTTAGCACAAGGTTCCACACAACAATAGGAAGGTTGGGATTAATTTTGGGGGTTATTGTCATAGCTGATTAGAAAAAAGGGGCCAAAAAGGGCCTAACAAAAACAATTATTTGTCTGGTTCACAGCCAATAACTTGAGTACAAATGTAAAAGTGCATGGATCTCTATTAAATTTTAGCACAAGGTTCCATACTACAACAGGAAGGTTGGGATTTATTTTGGGGGTTATTGTCATAGCTGTTTAGAAATTAGGGGCCAAAAACAAGCATTTTTCATGTTTCAGGACAATAAGTTGTGTATAAGAGTATGGATCTCTATGAAATTTTACCACAAGGTTCCGTACTTCATAAAAAAAGTTATGATTGATTTTTGGGGGGTCATTGTCCAAACTGTTTAATAATTAGGGGCCAAAAAGGGGCCAAAAACTAGGATTTTCTGGTTTCGTGACAATAACTTGAGTATAAGTCTATTTATTGCTATTTAATTGTTCCACAAGGTGTTATATCATAAGATAAAGTTTGGGATTGATTTTAGGGGTTATGACCTTAATGGTTTAGTTAAAAGGGGCCAAAAATAATTCTTTTGTAACACTTTGTATAAATTGCTTATTTCTTTAGCAATTTCAATGGGGTTTACATGTTTAATTCAAAGTCTTGAATTCTTGCATTGGGGTTCTTTAATATGCTGAATCTAATTGGGTATTTATAATTTAGATTTTGGGTCTGTTTTTGAATTGATCCATATTAAGATTCAAAGGGACCAAAATTAAACTTTGTTTGATTTCATCAAATATTGAATTATTGGTGTTCTTTGATAGCTGAATCTAATCATGTTTTTAGATTTTTAATTTTGGGACCTGTCTTCAAATTGGTCCACATTAAGGTCCAAAGGGGTCAAAATTAAATTTTGGTTGATTTAAAAAAAAAAATGAATGGTTGGGGTTCTTTGATATGCTGAATCTAAGCGTGTATTTAGATTTTTGATTTTGGGCACAGTATTCAAGTTGGTCAAAACTGGGGTCCAAAATTGAACTTTGTTTGATTTCATCAAGAATTTAATTGTTGGTGTTATTTGATATGATCAATCCAACAGTGTTTTAGATTTTTGATTTTGTGCTTGGTTTTCAAAGTTGGTCCAAATTGGGGTAAAAAATTAAACTTTTCTTCAAAAATTAAATTATTGGTGTTCTTTAATGTTGGGGTTCTTTGATATGCTGAATCTAAGCGTGTATTTAGATTTTTGATTTTGGGCACAGTATTCAAGTTGGTCTAAATTATAATTGGGATCCAAAATTAACTTTGTTTGATATGCTGAATCTCATAATGTATTTAGATTTTGGATTTTGGGCCCCTTTATCAAATTGGTCCACATTGATGTCCAAAGGGTCCAAAATAAATGAATTCTATGGATTCTTTGATATGCTGAATCTAACTGTGTATTTAGATTTTGGAGAATTGGGCCATAATAGGTACATTGTATAAGTCTAATTTCAAATTTTTCACTTTTTCTAGAAATTGGGCCATGATAGGTAAAAGTCCAATTTCAAATTTTTCAGTTTTTCTACCACATTCATTCTGTGTCAAAAACCTACTGTGGATTCATTTATTTTTGTGGGTATCAATTTTCCTGGATTGAGGAAAACTTGCATTTTCATGGATATTTGATTTCATGGTTTTGCCAATCTCTGCATACAAAAATTTGTCATTCGTTCAACATTGGAATTCGTGGTTCTCCTGTACCCACGAAACCCATGAAAATTGGTATCCAACGAATAATAATGAATTCACAGTATGCTATGTCAAATATTTAATCACAATCCAAATCCAGATCTGTATCAAGCTTGAATGTAGTGTCCATACTTGCCCAACTATTCAGGGTTCGACCTCTATGGTCGTATCAATCTGCGCCCAGCAGCATTTTATTTATGCTTGTACAAATGTATATTTTTGACACTGAGTATTGATAACATTCAGAAGGAATATTTTAAAAATTTTAAAATGGGTGGTTTTGAATTTCCAAGAATGAAAATTTATAGCAAAAATTAAAACACAATACATTGTTCATGTATAAATATACACTTATATCAGAGATTGTCTATTTTTTAAAGTTGAAAAACTATATTCAGATTGAATCAAATAAGGAATACATGTGCAGTTGAATTATTTTTTAGAAAGAATACTGATATCAATGGAAACAATGGCGATCGTATCCCTCAGAGCGATCATGCTCTTTGATTTGGGTTTCCTATAACAAAAACATAGATTTTATCATATCTAACTAGATAAATGTTTGTCTTTTGTAGATGTAACAGCAAAAGCTACAAGAGTGTTATTAGCATTAGTGATACCGGGGCATTTGATATTTATGTATACTATAGCTTACATGAAAGCAGGTCACACATCAATTACTTGGACATTTGCAATTTTTTATCTCACAGCAGCAATGCTTCAGGTACAGTATAACTTCTCTCATATGTCTTTTTTAAAAGATTAATTTTTTGGAGTAAATTTTTACCAAATTGCTTATTTCATTGTATTTAGTGCTACTTATAAATTCTGGGCTAACAGATTATTTGGTTTGTGTGAAATACATAACCTGATTAATAATTCATATTTCCAATGTGGTGACAGATTTCTTAGAAAATAAAAATTACTGAAAAATACACCCAACAATTTATAAGATTATATTGAAATCTTTTTAAGTTAAGAAATAAATTGTCAGTCTTTAAAAACATTATTATTAATATTTTCTCCCAGGTGACAGCAAATTTTATCAAATCACTGTAGTATCTAATTTGTACATGATTGTGAAATGAATCATTGGGTAAATCTGTCCAGGTTTAGCATCAGAGTGAAAGTGTGATCAATCATTGGATAGATCTATCCAGGTTTGCCATCAAAGTGATTGTGAGATGAATCATTGCATAGATCTGCCCAGGTTTAGCATCAGAGTAATTGTATGATGAATCATTGGATATATCTGTCCAGGTTTATCATCAGAGTGATTGTATGATGAATCATTAGATAGATCTGTCCAAGTTAAGCATCAGAGTAATTGTGAGATGAATCATTGGATAGATCTGTCCAGGTTTAGCATCAGAGTGATTGTGAGATGAATCATTGGATAGATATGTCCAGGTTTAGCATCAGAGTGATGGTATGATGAATCATTAAATAGATCTGTCCAGGTTTAGCATCAGAGTAATTGTGAGATGAATCATTGGATATACATGCCCAGAGTTTACCATCAGAGTGATTGTGTGATGAATCATTGGATAGATCTGTCCAGGTTTAGCATCAAAGTGATTGTGTGATGAATCATTGGATAGATCTGTCAAACTTTAGAATCTAGAGTGATTGTATATGATGAATCATTATATAGATCTGTCTAGGTTTAGCATCAGGGTGATTGTTTGATGAATCATTGGATATATCTGTCCAGTTTTAGCATCAGAGTGATTGTGTATGATGAATCATTGGATAGATCTGTCCAGGTTTAGCATCAGAGTGATTGTGAGATGAATCATTGGATAGATCTGTCCAGGTTTAGCATCAAAGTGATTGTGTGATGAATCATTAGATAGATCTGTCCAACTTTAGCATCAGAGTGATTGTATATGATGAATCATTATGTAGATCTGTCTAGGTTTAGCATCAGGGTGATTGTTTGATTAATCATTGGATATATCTGTCCAGTTTAAGCATCAGAGTGATTGTGTATGATGAATCATTGAATATATCTGTCCAGGTTTTAGCATCAGAGTGATTGTGAGATGAATCATTGGATAGATCAGTCCAGAGTTAAACATAAAAGTGATTATGTGATGAATCATTGGATAGATCTGTCCAGCTTTAGCATCAGAGTGATTGTGAGATGAATCATTGGGTTGATCTGTCCAGGTTTAGCATCAGAGTGATTGTATGATGAATAATTGAATAGATCTGTCAAGGTTTAGCATCAGAGTGATTGTGAGATGAATCTTTGGATAAACATGCCCAGGGTTTACCGTCAGAGTGATTGTATATGATGAATCATTGTATACATCTGTCTAGGTTTAGCATCAGAGTGATTTTGAGATGAATCATTGGATAGATCTGTCCAGATTTAGCATCAGAGTGATCGTGAGATGAATCATTGGATATATCTGTCCAGTTTTAGCATCAGAAATATTATGAGATGAATCATCGGATAGATTTGTCCAGGTTTAGCATCAGAGTACTTGTATGATGAATCATTGGATAGATCTGTCCAGGTTTAGCATCAGAGTGATTTTGAGATGAATCATTGGATAGATCTGTCCAGGTTTAGCATCAGAGTGATCGTGAGATGAATCATCGGATATATCTGTCCAGTTTTAGCATCAGATATATTATGAGATGAATCATTGGATAGATTCGTCCAGGTTTAGCATCAGAGTACTTGTATGATGAATCATTGGATAGATCTGTCCAGGTTTAGCATCAGAGTGATTTTGAGATGAATCATTGGATAGATCTGTCTTGGTTTAGCATCAGAGTGATCGTGAGATGAATCATTGGATATATCTGTCCAGTTCTAGCATTAAATATATTATGAGATGAATCATTGGATAGATTTGTCCTGGTTTAGCATCAGAGTACTTGTATGATGAATCATTGGATAGATCTGTCCAGGTTTAGCATCAGAGTGATCATGAGATGAATCATTGGGTATATCTGTCCAGTTTTAGCATCAGATATATTATGAGATGAATCATCGGATAGATTCGTCCAGGTTTAGCATCAAAGTACTTGTATGATGAATCATTGGATAGATCAGTCCAGGTTTAGCATCAGTGTGATTTTGAGATGAATCTTTGGATAGATCTGTCCAGGTTTAGCATCAGAGTGATCATGAGATGAATCATTGGATATATCTGTCCAGTTCTAGTATTAAATATTATTATGAAATGAATCATCGGATAGATTCGTCCAGGTTTAGCATCTGAGTACTTGTATGATGAATCATTGGATAGATCTGTCCAGGTTTAGCGTCAGAGTGATCGTGAGATGAATCATTGGATATATCTGTCCAGTTTTAGCATCAGATATATTATGAGATGAATCATGGGATAGATTCATCCAGATTTAGCATCAGAGTGATTGTGAGATGTATCATTGGAAAGATATGTCCAGGTTTAGCATCAGAGTAATTGTATGATGAATCATTGGATTAGCATCAGAGTGATTGTGTGATGAGCACACCCAATGTATATTGTTTATGTTCCTTGAAAGTTCTCTGAATTATGTTTATTTTCTGTTGTAGTACTCATATTTATTTTTAATTGACTACTGTAAATTCAGAAACTATTGTGTGCATTTATTATTGTGATTATTCAAGAATAGACAAAATAAGAGTTTAATTATTGGGATTTCAAAGAAATCTGCATAAAGGTCCATGTTTCAGTTCTCAGAATGCAAGTTCTTATTATTGCGATACTCACCCAGTCATATTATGTGCATTGATAAAAACCTCACAATAATTTCTGAATTTACAGTACCTGTTAGTCACTTAAGTTTGTGTTGTTTATATCTGAACGATACGATACAGTTTTTCTTTCGTGTGTATATTTCCATTCAGTGAAAATTATACACTGAAAATTTAACCTGCCCATTTTGTCAGCAAATCGTGAAAAAAAGCCGACACGAAAAAACCCCGATATACTGTAGATCTGTCCAGGTTTAGCATCAGAGTGATTGTGTTATGAATCACTGGATAGATCTGTCCAGGTTTAGCATCAAAGTAATTGTATGATGAATCGTTGGATAGATCAGTTCAGTTTTAGCATCAGAGTGATTGTGTATGATGAATCATTGGATAGATCTGGCCTAACTCATTAGATATTTCATATATATGTACACTTTTTAGGTTTTGATCTTACTGTTTATGGCAAACTGGATTGTACACTTGTTTTGGAGTTGGGGACAGGATCCAGACAATTTTGCCATCCCATACTTAACTGCTATTGGAGATTTACTTGGCACAGCTTTCCTAGCTGTTGCCTTTCATATGCTATATTTATCTGGTAAAGATGTGGGGCTTCTTTTGGATATGGTCATCCTTACTGCTTCTTCTCCTAATGAACTGTTTGGAATGGGTGATCCTTCCTATACTTTGGGATACTGGAATGACAGATCAAAGGCTTTCACAATGAAATCAAGTTTTTCTGTATTGTTAATCCTTTAAGCATATATTGATACTATTTTCACTAGAATATTGCACATGACAACCTAAATGGTCTAGTGTAGCTTTTAATGAAATTGTTTAGTTATTAGACCTTTCTTTCAAATTGTACCTATAAGAAATGTAAACTGGAGCATTTAGAACTATAATTTACATGCAGTTTGCAAACATGTTAAAATTACTTACATGTTTTCTAGAAAAGGATAATGTCTAATTAAAATTTCATTTTTGAATGCCTTTGATTGTGTATCTTTTCCCTCACCAACTTTACAATTTCTTTTATATACTGAATACTGATTTAATAATAGCTCATCAGGGTTTTTGAAAGTTTATGAATTCAAGATAGTTAATTTATAAGCCTGTCGTAGACAGGACATTTAGGGACATGTATATTTTTTGTTTTATAAACAAGTCTAAATTGAAAACAACGTTCAAACCTATGATTGCGTTGGATAAAAGGGCAATTTTTAAACGTGTGCATGCAAAACAAATTTCTTGGTAGAGGGGTCTAAATACAGCACAAACAACATTTTCCAAAAGACCAAAAAAATGATAAAGTATATTTTAACAAAACGCATTTGACTAGCAGGTCGAACAACGGATGTTCTTAAACCCTGCTGACTGCCATTGGCAATTGCCAAATAAGCGGATCACCGGATTAACAAAATGGATCTTAACTATTAATTTAATACCAAACAGAAAACAATAAACTTGTGGAAAAGATGGTATATCGCAAACATAATATACTTTGTTTTATAAATATATACAATTTTTTTCTGCAAGGCCACTTATGTCTTATGATTTAATGCCTTCTACAATATTCCATGTTATTCTTTCATCAATTTCAATATGTACATGAATGTTGTATGTGACATTCCTGTTGCAGCTTTTTTATAAGATAAAAGAGGGCTAGGTTATAATAAAGGATACTATACTCTGATCAGTTATCAAAATGTTTTATGAGCTTTGTTAAGTTTAAGCATCTTTTTTATACTAAATTTAACACTAAATAGCCTGAGTTCTTGCATTGTCTCACTGCTTGACAGTAGAGCAAGGGGGAATACCATGACATAAAGCCATGATAAAGGACATGTTTACATTTATTAGATGTAGGAACCATGCATTGCAGGATAGCATCATTTTTGTCGAGCCTGCGACTTTTGTCGCAGAAAGCTCGACATAGGGATAGTGATCCGGGGCGGGCGGCGTTAGCTAGCTTCTTAAAAGCTTTATATTTTAGAATCTAGAAGACCTGGATGCTTCATACTTTGTATATAGATGCCTTATGTTACGAAGTTTTCGTCCTTGACCTCATTTTCATGGTTCAGTGACTACTTGAAAAAAAAGTCAACATTTTTTTGTAATGTTAATTTCTTTCTTTTTATGAGTAATAGGATAACTATATTTAGTATGTGCGTACCTTGCAAGGTCCTTATGCCCGTCAGACAATTTTCATTTGACCTCAACCTCATTTCATGGATCAGTGAACAAGGTTAAGTTTTCGGGGTCAAGTCCATATATCAGATACTATAAGCAGTAGGTCTACTATATTTATACCCCACGCACAAGTTGCAGAGGGTATAATGTTTTTGACCCGTCCGTCCGTCTGTCCATCTGTCCGTCTGTCCGTCCGTCCGTCAGTCCGTCAGTCCTGTTTCTTGTCATTGCAACTCCTCTCAAACCACACAACAGAATTTCACGAAACCTTTTTAGATAATAAGGACATACTATGTAGTTGTGCATATCGACAGGAAATTACGATTCAATTCTTTTTCTAGGAGTTACGCCCCTTTGAACTTATTTACTTTAATGTACTACTGCAACAGTTTGTCATCGCAACTCCTCTCAAACCACACTACAGAATTTCATGAAACCTTTTCAGATAATAAGGACATACTACTTAGATGTGCATATCGACAGGAAATTACGATTCAATTTTTTTTCCAGGAGTTACGCCCCTTTGAACTTATTTGCCCAATATACTACTGCAACCTTTTGTCTTCGAAACTCCTCTCAAACCACACAACAGAATTTCATGAAAACCTTTCAGATAATAAGGACATACTACGTAGATGTGCATATCGACAGGAAATTATGATTCAATTTTTTTTTCTGATACAATTTTTTTTTCTTACACTTATTTTATTTCTCCAATGACAATGTGGGGATGTGGGGTATTTTATTTCTCCAATGACAATGTGGGGACGTGGGGTATGTGAGCGGGCTCACTAAGGTTCTTTCATTGGTATATGGAATGATTGTAAGGTGTACATGTTCAACTGGTAGGTGTCATCTGACCTTGACCTCATTTTCATGGTTCAGTGGTCAAAGTTAAGTTTTTGAGTTTTGGTCTTTTTTTCTAATACTATATGCAATAGGTCAACTATATTTGGTGTATGGAAATATTTTATGATGTACATGTCAGTCTCGCAGGTTTTATTTGATCTTGACCTCATTTTCACAGTTCATTTCTCAGTGTTAAGTTTTTGTGTTTTGGTCTGTTTTTCTTCAACTATAAGCAATAGATCAACTATATTTGTTGTATGGAAGGATTGTAAGGTGTATATGTCTGTCTGGAAGGTATCATCTGACCTTGACCTCATTTTCATGGTTCATTGGTCAATGTTAATATTAAGTTTTCATTGTTCAGTTTGTGTTTTAGATACTATAAGCAATAGGTCAACTACCTGTATATTTAATGCATAAATTGATTGTAAGGTGTACATGTCTGTGTGGCATGGTTCATCTGACCTTGACCTCATTTTCATGTTTCATTGGTCAATGTTAAGTTTTCTTGGTTAAGACTGTTTCTTAGAAACTATAAGCAATAGGTCAACTATGTTTGGTTTATTGAATGATTGTAAGGTGTACATGTATTTCTCGTTTCTTTTATCTGACCTTGACCTCATTTTTTTGGATCATGTTAAGTTTATGTGTTACTTGTAGTAAAGCTTTATATTTAGGACTATCAACATAAATTGATGGTTAGTAAAGAAGGCCAGACATTTCAGTGTGTGCACTCTTGTTTGACACATGATTGGAAATATTTTCTTTTCCACAAAGTTGTTGAAAACCATTTCAATTTGTACAAAATGCTAGAACAAGTTTTAATCTAATGTAAGAAACAAAGCTTATCCGTCTAAATTATCAAGTTATAATTGTTAGTTCACGATATTTTTTACAAAATTTTTATATTACTTAAACCAAACTCTCATTTTTAACCAGATTTTCAAGGAAAATTCAGCTATTGATTTGGGGATGTACGGCGGGCGGCTGCCAAACAGTGTCCATTCCTTTACAAACATATGCTTTGACGAAATTTTTTCAAATTTAGATATGTTGTTTCCTGTGACTAAATGAAGGTCAAGTTCAATTTTCATGATTTTAGCTTTTCTCGTTGTTGAGTTGTCGACCTTTTAGTAGCCAAAAGTTATACTTATTATATGATTGGGTTATTTCCCTTTGAACAGAAAATGTGATTTGCAAATATCATTTTCATTAGATAATAATCTATTTTTATTAAAGGATATATTTCATTACATTACATTTTGTAGATAAAATTGTTGACATTGATAGAAAAGTTGTAGATCTATATTAGTTTGTGACAAATGAAAAAAAAATTATTGGGAACTATTAATTATATATATATAAAGTTTGATTACACTAAGTGTTTTTAAATAATTTTCACCTGTTATCAGATAACAAAGCATCTGGTAAATATCTTATCACACAATTATAATTGGAGTGACAATTTTATTTGAAAATTTTCTGTTTCCTAAGTGTTGATGATGATAAGATCTGTATGACTGTATAACTAAAGTTTGAAATTTACTGTTCATTATTAAACATTTTGAAGATAATTACAGATAAGTTTTATAGATTTTTAATAGATATTGTATTATTGATAAATGACATTTTGGATTTCTTTTCTTTGGTAAATTGTTTAAGGTGTAATACCACCATTGATTTTCCCCTATTAGTCTTTGTTAAATTTGCACTTTTCAAAAAATTGTGCAGAATTTATCTTTGTTTCAAATAAAGAAATACTTGGCATGGGTAAAGTTTGATCCTGTCCAGTACTATAGAAAAAATTTCACATAACATTTCATTGCATATAAGAAAATAACCATCACTGGAAGTTAACCAATCAAATTTTCCCCCTTTTTTAACCTGTGTACAAGCTTTAGTAACCATGTAACCTCAAGTTTCCAAAATATTCTATAGAAACCCCAAATAAAAAAATAATGGTGCTTTGAAATACCCAAGATATATGTTTATGACCCAGAAATGTTTTACTGCAATGAAATGTAGGATCAATTACCTACAACTGTCAAATTCAAGGGAATATTTTTTTTCGACCTATTTTCGTATGCAACCGGATGTGACGTACTATGATTTGGTGGTATTACACCTAAAGAAGACTTTTTTGTTAAATAAATTGAATGGGACTTTTTTCCTTTGTAATACTGGTTATTTCTAGCATTCCTGTCAAGTTTTGTCATAATCAGTTCAATAGTTTGAGAAAAATCTAGTATAATGTAAGACGACATCTACAGCGATTCGAGCTAAATTTCTTCGAAAAATCCAAACCAAGCCGCATCATGATAGAATATAGTGTGGACCAATAAATGATCAAATATTTATCTCATCTGCCTACAAACAGTTGAATATGATACAAAAGATGACTTCAGGATGATAAATACTACTAATGGACCTCTTTGTCTTCCTTATAAGGTCTCTTTTGGTCCATTTATACCTCTCATTTCCTCAGAATTTCTACTTTATAGGCCAATAAATAAAAATTTTGGGGTAACTTTCACTCACTTATGATAGAAATGTTATAATAAATGATTAAATGAAGTTTTCAAGCTGAATGAACTATCCGTATAAAAATTTACTGTCTCCAAGGAGGTTTCAATAAGTCCTTACGTAAAACTTAAATTTACGCCGCGTTCCAGAGAGGGACATAAAAAGCTTCTCTTTTGGTGAATAATTTGTTGTTACTGCTTTAAAAATAATTTCATTTACTTAAAACTATATATTTATTAAAGTATTTCTTAGGAAAAATTTTCTAGTATAGCAGAATATAAGAAAAAAGGAGAAAAAGCTCCCCAAAACTCTAAGTATGGCTTATTCTGTCAACTAATATTCATGGTAAAGTCCTATTTCAAGGAAATTTTCTCATAAAATGTGTTTTGGAGACTCAATCCACTCAGAATATTTCATTATTAGTAATATTTCACTTAAATAGCAAGAAATTTTAACACATGAGAGTACTCACAAGGTCAAAGGTGCATGTACAGCTTCCCATATTAGGTGTAATACCACCATTGATTTTCCCCTATTAGTCTTTGTTAAATTTGCACTTTTCAAAAAATTGTGCAGAATTTATCTTTGTTTCAAATAAAGAAATACTTGGCATGGGTAAAGTTTGATCCTGTCCAGTACTATAGAAAAAATTTCACATAACATTTCATTGCATATAAGAAAATAACCATCACTGGAAGTTAACCAATCAAATTTTCCCCCTTTTTTAACCTGTGTACAAGCTTTAGTAACCATGTAACCTCAAGTTTCCAAAATATTCTATAGAAACCCCAAATAAAAAAATAATGGTGCTTTGAAATACCCAAGATATATGTTTATGACCCAGAAATGTTTTACTGCAATGAAATGTAGGATCAATTACCTACAACTGTCAAATTCAAGGGAATATTTTTTTTCGACCTATTTTCGTATGCAACCGGATGTGACGTACTATGATTTGGTGGTATTACACCTTAAAGAATTTTGTGGTAGGTTTGCTTGTTATTCTGCATAAACTTATTTTCAGAATGCTATATATATATATATATATATTTTTTTATGAAGCAAACTCCTTTAAAAACTAAGCTTAGTTTGTCTATTAATAAACATATATTTAGATTTCTGATTTTGGGCCCAGTTTTCATGTTGGTCCAAATCGGGGTCCAAAATTATACTGTGTTTGATTTCAACATAAAATGAATATATATAGGGTTCTTTGAAATGCTGAATCTAAACCTGTATTTATTTTCATTATTAATTAGATGATACCACATTGAGGTCCAAAGGGTCCTAAATTAAACTTTTGTTTGATTTCATCAAAAATTGAATTCTTGGGGTTCTTTGATATGCTGATTCTAACAATGTACTTAGATTTTGGATATTGTACCATAATAGGTAAATGTCCGATTTCAAATTTTTCAGTTCTTTGACCACATTCATTTTATGTCACAAACCTATGCTGTGTCAAATATTCAATCACAATCCAAATTCAGAGCTGTTTTAAGCTTAAATGTTGTGTCCATACTTGCTCAACTTTTCAGTGTTCGACCTCTGCAGGAAAATCCGGTTTGCTGTCACTCTGACAGACTCTTGTCTAATACTGGCTAAGCTGGTTCTAACATAAATTATTTCTGATCTGTATAAAGAAACAACAAATATTGATATGGCAGGAGATATACACCAAATAGGGTGTGTAAATTATTATATTTAGTTTGTAAACAGATTTACTAAGTATTGCGCAACAGCAAGAAATCTTCAATTGAAAATAAATACAAATCTTTTAACCTATTTCAATGAGGATTAATTTAAAGTCTTGAATTGTTTGAGGTTTTTTACCATGTATTACTATATTGGATATTTGGACAATTTTAAATAGGTCTACATTGAGGTCCAAAGGGTCCAAAATTAGACTTTGATTTGATCAGAAACTGAATTCTTGTGGTTCTATGATATGTTGAATCTAACTGTGCATTCAGATTGCGATTATTCAAGAATAGACAAAAATGCGAGTTTAATTATTGCGTTTTCGAAGAAATTTGCATAAAGGTCTGTGTTTCAGTTTTCAGAATGCGAGTTCTTATTATTGTGATACTCACCAAGTCGCATTATTCGCATTAATAAAAACCTCTCAATAATTTCTGAATTTACAGTACCTGTAAGCTTCAATGTTGTGTCCATACTTGCTCAACTGTTCAGGGTTTGACCTCTGCAGGAAAATCCGGTTTGCTGTCACTCTGACAGCCTCTTGTTATATCATTTCTGCATATTTGAAAATTTTATACAAAATATCGTGAACTAACAATTATAACTTAATAATTTAGACAGATAAGCTATAAAAGTGAAAGCTTGTTTTAAATAATATAGACTAAATACTTAAGTAGACCTCCATTGAATTTTTCAAGACAAAGAGAGAGTTGTACCTATTTAGGTCAAGCTAATAGGTCAAAGATTGGATCAAAATTCTGTCTGTGTAAAAGGCTATATTCTTGAAGGAACGCAATACTTAACTTTGTATATGTATATATATATATATATAATAAACATGACTCATAATTTTTGAAAAGGGTATGAAGTCTGTAAAAAGATACAAATTTTATTTTCATTGATTTATTACCATTATTCACTTTGGTAATCTAATATAAAAAATTGTGGGAAATCATGTGCTCTCTTATGGTGTTCTAGGAAAATTACCTCCCATTTGATATGGGTGTTTCTCTGTTTTTATAGTAACAAAGATGCTGTCCCCATTGAAAACTGCAAAATATTACTGTGCATACATGATAGACGGAGAAAAGTAATGATTTGGATTAAATTGTATTTTGATATTCATATTAATTTGTCTACTTTAATGCAGACTTCATCCTCTAATATATAATTAAAATTCCTATTATAAATTAAGAAAACATTCAAGAATATAAAAATATAGGTAAGTTAATAAAAAAATAGTGTTAAAATTTGAATGAAATGATTGATAAAATTATCAAACCTCTGTCTTTAATGAATAAAAGAAGTATTTACATATTTATGTGTTTGAATGTTTCCAAAATTTATCACAGGAATTATAACCTTTGGGATTAACATTAAAATATACTAGGGATTAGAGTACAATAGTGCAGTGATCTACTGTGCAGAAACATTTAGATTTTGAGATGTAAGGGAGATAATTTAAATGCATGTCTGTTTGTAGATGTAAGGACGATAATTCTAATACCACTATCGTAGAAGTAAGGGAGATAATTGAAATACCTTTCTTATTGTACATGTAAGGGAGATAAGTCTAATACCTTTCTTATTGTAGATGTACAGGAGGTCATTCAAATGCCTTTTGTGAAGATGCATTCATTGAGTAGTCAAAGTTTTATAAAAGATAACAACCAATCAAAATAGCTGAATTTCTTTTGTTCATAATTAAAATTCCTTTTACCCAGGCAATTATTTGAAAAGTTATATGCTTGTTTTGTTTGTACATAAATGCAATATCCTCCTATCATTATATTACTTAAATTGTTTACTTTATCTGAATGTTTTGTTTATTTTGTAAAGTCTAACCTTTTTTTACTTTACATGAAAAGTCAAATGAGATGATTATTTCATTATAGGTGATTATTCTGTTGTTTTTGGCAAACTGGATGGTACATCTGATATGGCGACTGGGGGATGATCCAGACAACGTAGCTATACCATACCTCACAGCTATCGGAGATTTATTAGGAACTTCCTTTCTAGCTGTTGCTTTCCATTTATTGTATTTGATTGGAGACAAAGATGCAGATGTTGGCGAATAAATTATATTCTCATATTAATCATTAAGTACAGATCTTGTGTCCACGCTTTGCTTATAAGCTCTGACAATGCTCCATCTGTTTCTTCGACCTTTTAATAGATATAAGAAGATGTGGTATGAGTGCCAATGAGACGACTCTCTTTCCAAGTTTTAAGAATACTCAAACTTCTTGTAATGATGCACACCTTCAAAATTTTGTAGGCACAAATGTCATTGGCTTACGTGACAATAATCACAACAGTAATTATAATGGAGAGTTATCAGATTTTTGTAAGAGAAGTGTGGACACTCAGATGAACAAATATCAATAGAATGGCAACATGAATAGTCAACAAATTAATTATTGATCAGTTGTGATGTTTAATAGTCATATACAATTACAAAAAGTCAGTTCAGTATTTATCATTAGATAAACACCAACAAAAATATACCTTAGATATTATATTACAGCCAGAACTATTGGGTGACCAGTCACCAGTCAGTCTTCCTTTAAAATGAGGACATGATAATTTGACCCTGTGGTGCAATGAAGTGTTGTTGTCTTTGTTTTAAACCTGTTTTTGTTTCAGTATTTTGTAATATATGTAAATGTTGATTTGGAAAATGTGTTTTATAAAAGCATTTAGATTATTTTAAATGATTATTATTGACCCAAACATATATAGATTTAACATCAAAGTCTTTGGTATACATAAATTCTGTCTATTTTGAAATTAGTTTTGTTCATATCAAAAGTTCTTAAGAATAGAAACTAACATATGTTTCTATGTTTAATGCCATATAACAAGATACAGACAAAGTTTTCAGTATATTTTAAATATATTATTTTGAACATTGTACCATTTTTGCATTATGAAATGAATAACAGTTCTTGTGTTTATTCTCCAGCTGAACTTCTGTTTTTTAGGGGTTTTTTTAAATGAAAGGTGTTCAATCAGTTAACTGAAATTGCATCCAAATTGCAAATAAATTTTCTAGATAAGTTTTCTCAATATTTTGTCACTAAACTTTAACCAATCTGTTTTATATTCCCTACTCCTGAAAAGCTAAAATGGACCAATGCTTAAAAAGTTTCTAAACTTTCCCTGTTGGAAATGGTTTTATTTTTGCTTTTACTTAATAACTTTTAATTCTTATTCTAATGAATATAGCATTCAATTTTTCAAAAAGACATTTGAATCAGAATCTTTAATGATTAACTGTTTTAAAAAAAAAATGACCCAGATTTTGCCGATCAATAACATGGAAACGTGATAGTGTGAGTGCGATGGGCATGTATAATTGTTGTGATGAAGACTACCATAGATTGAAGTTCATAATGATATTAAGGTTAATATTATAATGATATTAAGGTTAATATTATAGACTCTCATAACTTTGTAAATATATATTAATATAGGTATATTTGTTTACTCCACATACTGTTTGAAACATAATCTTTGTCAGAGAAATGTTTAAATCAAAGAGGTCAGTGTTCCTTATTTTGTGATACTCATCCATTATTGACACTGACAACTAGTTGTTTGTTATGATAAAGTTTTTATTTATTAAAAAGTGTTTACCTGATGACAGTTTTGATTCATATTTTACCATATTGGTCGCAGTAAATTTTAATAAAACCATGCTTAGACATTGCCAGAGTATAAACATGACATTTTTATGCCCCCACCAAGTTTTATAAATGGAAAAATTGCAAAATTTTTAGTTTCCGTTCTCTAACTTAAGTTTGCCTCAACCAAATGTTATGAAACTTATACACAATGCTTATTACCACAAAATACAGATCAAGATTGAATTTTGGTAGCGTCACTAACTGTTCTTGAGTTATGCCTCTTTATAAATGGAAAAATTGCAAAATTTTTAGTTTCCATTCTGTAACTTAAGTTTGCCCCAACCAAACATTATGAAACCTATACACAATACTTGTTACCTTAAAACTTGGATCAAGTACAAATTTGGGTAGCGTCACTTTTATCGTTCTTGAGTTATGTCCTGTTATAATATTGTATGCAAGCGGGGGCATCATCTGTGTCCATGGGGACACATTCTCCATTTATTTCTGTCTGACTTTGCATACATGTAGATAAATTTGTGTTTTGCAATTTTTTTTCATTAGCCATATGTCATGTTATGTAATTCTGTGTCTTGACTTACAATATTTAAATAGTTTTTGATAAGGTACTTTAAATATAGATTCTACCACTGCATCGAGTGTGATACGATATTTATCCACTCGAGACAGATAAATTTTCAAATTTAAAACGCGAGGCTCGCCGAGTCTATGTGACGTCATCAGGCATGGTCGCCTTTTTTCATGTCGTCACAATAGGAAATTCAGAGGAAAGCAAGAAAATTCGACGTCATAATAAGATTTTAACCAATGAAGAACTGAGATCAAACGAACCACACGTTGATTAAATTTTTTTTATACAATTGGTGCAGAAAGGGATAAATTGACGAAGAATTAGAGAAATTATTGTATACAATCACTGAGTTCTGCACATACAACAAATCGCTGTATTGTATTACCCGACTGAATCTGCTAGTAACATTGGAATCACTTCACTTAGGCTACGGTGTCTGTATCCCACTTTATGGTACTGGTAATCCTAAACAATTTCTTCTAATATCAGTTTGTGAATTCAGAACTGAAAAATGGTGTGACTGAATTCAGCAACACAGAATCTTCTACAGGGCATGAAGTTTGGTACCTGATTTTTGTCGAGCCTGCGACTTTTGTCGCAAAAGCAAGACATAGCTATCCTACATTCCGTCGGCGTCCACAAATATTCACTCTGTGGTTAAAGTTTTTATACGACCGCGAAAAAAATTTTGTGGTCGTATATTGGTATGACGTTGGCATCGTCGTCGTCCGAAGACACATTAGTTTTCGCACTCTAACTTTAGTTTAAGTGAATGGATCTCAATGAAATTTTACCATAATGTTCAATACCACAAAAGGAAGGTGGGGATTGATTTGGCCAAAAATAAGCATTTTTGTAACTTCCAGACATAACTTGTGTGTAAGTGTATGGATCTCTCTGACATTGTACCACAAGGTTCCATATCACAAAGGGAATGCTGGGATTGATTTTGGGGGTAATTGCCTCCAAATTTTAGGAATTAGGGGCCAAAAAGGGGCAAAAAACAAGCATTTTTCTAGTTTCATGACAATAACTTGTGTGTAAGTCTATGGATCTCTCTGACATTGTATCCCAAGGTTCCATATCACAAAGGGAAAGCTGGGATTGATTTTGGGGGTAATTGCCTCCAAATTTTAGGAATTAGGGGCCAAAAAGGGGCAAAAAACAATCATTTTTCTAGTTTCATGACAATAACTTGTGTGTAAGTGTATGGATCTTTATGAAATTGTACTACAAGGTTCCATATCACAAAGGGAAAGCTGGAATTGAGTTTGGGGGTAATTGCCCAAAAAGTTGAGGAATAAGGGACCAAAAAGGGGCCAAAAATAAGCATTTTTCTAGTTTCCAGACAATAACTTGTGTTCAAGTGTATTAATCTCTTTGAAATTGTACTGCAAGGTACCATACCACAAAGGGAAGGCTGGGGTTGATTTTGGGGGTAATTGCCTCAAAATTTTAGTAATTAGGGGCCATAAAAGGGCAAAAAAACAAGCATTTTTCTAGTTTCAGGACAATAAGTTGTGTGTAAGTGTATGGATCTTTATGAAATTGTACTGCATATCACATATCACAAAGGGAAAGCTGGGTTTGAGTTTGGGGGTAATTGTCCTAAAGGTTTAGGAATTTTGGGCCAAAAAGGGGCCAAAAAACAAGCATTTTTCTAGTTTCCAGACAATAACTTGTGTTCAAGTGTATGGATCTCTCTGAAATTGTACTGCAAAGGTACCATACCGCAAAGGGAAGGCTGGGATTGAGTTTGGGGGTGATGAATCATAAGGGGGTTCAAAAAATTTGGGGGGGGATTTTTTTTTTCCTTTTTTTTCTTTAAAATTTTCCATTTTAAATTGGTTATTTCTGATTTATATATAAAAGCAAATAATAATGATATGGTTTGAATAGGTAAATTAAAATTTTTTAAGTTCTTAGACCACTTTCATTCTGTGTCAGAAACCTATGCTGTGTCAAATATTTAATTACAATCCAAATTCAGTGCTGTATCAAGCTTGAATGTTGTGTCCATACTTGCCCCAACTGTTCAGGGTTCGACCTCTGCGGTCGTATCAAGCTGCACCCCAGCGGAGCATTTTATTCAAATCTTAATAACTTTCTTAAACTATCCTGCATTTCAACCAAACTTGGACAGAAGCTTGTTTATGATCATAAGATAGTATCCTGAACTAAATTTTGTAAAAAAAAAAATTCTGTTTATCTGTATTTTACTCATAAATGGACTTAGTTTTTCTGCCAGTTCACATTACATTTACTCTGTGGTTAAATTTTTTCAAATTTTTATAACTTTCTTAAACTATCCTAGATTTGTACCAAACTTGGACAGAAGCTTGTTTATGATCATAAGATAGTATCCAAAAGTAAATTTTGTAAAAATTTATTTCCTACTTTTCCGTATATTACTTATAAATGGACTTAGTTTTATTGTGGAGCCTGCAACTTTTGTCGCAGAAAGCTCGACATAGGGATAGTGATCAGGCGGCGGTGGCAGCGGCTACGGCGGCGGCATCGTTAGCTAACTTCTTAAAAGCTTTATATTTTAGAAGGTGGAAGACCTGGATGCTTCATACTTTGTATATGGATGCCTCATGTTACGAAGTTTCCGTCAGTCACATGTCCAATGTCCTTGACCTCATTTTCATGGTTCAGTGACTACTTGAAAAAAAAGATAAGATTTTTTGTAATGTTAAATTCTCTCTTATTATAAGTAATAGGATAACTATATTTGGTATGTGTGTACCTTGCAAGGTCCTCATGTCCGTCAGACAGTTTTCACTTGACCTCAACCTCATTTCATGGATCAGTGAACAAGGTTAAGTTTTGGTGGTCAAGTCCATATCTCTGATACTATAAGCAGTAGGTCTAGTATATTCAGTGTATGGAAGGACTGTAAGGTGTACATGTCCAACTGACAGGTGTCATCTGACCTTGACCTCATTTTCATGGTTCAGTGGTTATAGTTAAGTTTTTGTGTTTTGGTCTGTTTTTCTAATACTATATGCAATAGTTCAACTATATTTGGTGTATGGAAATATTTTATGATCTATATGTCAGTCATGCAGGTTTTATTTGACCTTGACCTCATTTTCAAGGTTCATTGCTCATTGTTAAGTTTTTGTGTTTTGGTCTGTTTTTCTTAAACTATAAGCAATAGGTCAACTATATTTGTTGTATGGAAGAATTGTGAGCTGTACATGCCTGCCTAGCATGGTTCATCTGATCTTGACCTCATTTTCATGGTTCATTGGTCAATGTTTAGTTTACTTGGTTAATGTTAAGTTAATGTGACAGTTGTAATAAAGCTTTATATTTAGGACTATCAACATAATATCAATGATAAGTAAAGAAGGCGAGACATTTCAGCGTGTACACTCTTGTTTCAGTTAACATTATGTACAGTCTGCAGTTAAAGTTTTTAAAACATGTATTAGATTCATAAACCTTCTTAGATTTTTACCAAACTTGAATAGAACTTCTTATAATCAAAAGATAGTATCTAGAAGAAAATTTTTAATAATTTTTTCCGAATTTTTGTTGAGCCTGCAACTAACAGCAAAAGTAGGCGAGACACTGGGTTCCGCGGAACCCTTACGAATTTTTAATGTTTTACTCCCTCTGTCTGTCCATCTATATGAATGTTCGTAACAAGATATTTCCATAGCAACCTATAAACCAACATATATAGGAACTACAAATCAGAGCTTACTGACTTTTTTCATAGGCTTCATGTGAACATGCTATACTGGATGATCCGTTTTCAGATTCATCCCTCATTTACTTCCTGTTTACCAAATACTTATATATTCAAACACAGAATGGCATTGTATGAAATTTGAGTCACATTTTTTCTCTCTAGGGAAACTACTAATAAGAGCTTCCTAAATTTTTTTTATTAGGCCTCATGAAAACATGCTTTATGGTGTGATGCGTTTTAAGATTCCCCCCTCACCAACTTCCTGTTTACCAAATACTTATATATTCCAACACATAATGACCATTTATGGAATTTGAGTTGCATATTTCTAATGAACTACAATAAGATTCCTGAATTTTGTTATCAGGCTTCATGTGGACATGCTTTACTTTATGAAGTGGTTTTTATACGACCCCAAAAATTTTTTGGGATCGTATAATGGTATGATGTCGTAGTCGTTTGCGTCGTCTGCATTGTCGTCCAAAGACACATTGGTTTTGGACAATAACTTTAGTTTTAGTTAATGGATCTCTATTTTTTTAGAAGGTTCAATACCACAAAAGGAAAGTTGGGATTGATTTTGAGGATGATGGTCCCAACCATTTAGGAATAAGGGGTCCAAAAGGGGCCCAAAACAAACATTTTTCTAGTTTCAGGATAATAACTTGTGTATAAGTATTTCGATTGCTCTGAAATTGTACAACAATGTTTAATACCACAAGAAGTAGGTTGGGATTCATATTAAGGGTTATGGGGCAAACAGTTTAGGAATTAAGGGCCGGACAATAACTTGTGTGTAAGTGTATGGATCTCTCTGATATTGTACCATAAGGTTCCATATCACAAAGGAAAGTCTGGCATTGAGTTTGGGGGTAATTGCCTCAAACATGTAGGAATAAGGGGCCAAAAAAGGGCCAAAAACATGCATTATTCTAGTTTCCAAACTATAACTTGTGTAAGTTGTGTATGGATCTCTCTGAAATTGTACTACAAGGTTCCATACTACAAAGGAAAGAATTGGATCGAGTCTTGGGGTAAAAGTTGCGGGGGGGTGGCGGTTTCCAATTTTTTTAAAGAATTCATATTTTTTTTCAAATTTTGTAAAAGGTTCAAGAAGTAATCTTCAATTGCACAGTATTGCGCAATAGATTTGTAAGATCATTTACCACATTTATTTTGTGTCAGAAACCTATATAATGTCAAAAATTTGATCATAATCAAAATTCAGACAGTATCAAGCTTGAATATTATATCCAAATTTGCCCTAACTGTTCAGGGTTCGACCTCTGCGGTCGTATCAGGCTGCGCTCAGCGAAGCATTTCATTTTTCATTGCTCACAGTTCTACTTGTTGCTCAATGCTTTTTGGTGGTTTCCTTACAAAATCATGGACAGCCATTTTTCTCTATACAATTTGGAGATTGCATTGGACCCTTATTCCATGGAAGACTCTTAAATTCCTTTCCAAAAGAAAGACTGTGCATGACTTATGAAAGGTCGTTGGTTTCTGTTGGATGTTTCAAAATCTGACTTTGTTGGAAAGTTATTTAAATACAAATTTTATACTATTTTTGCCTTTTATTCAGTTCTTTTTTGAATAACCTTCAACCTGATTTAAGTGGTTCATTGTGTCAGGTTTAAGATGATACATTGATCAATGGTTAAACGATACTTATAAGATGTGCTCTGATGGCTATAGGCGAGCTGTAGTTGTTAACATCCCAATCCTGTGATCTTAGCTCCATAATAAAGTCTGTATTTATATTTATCTCAAGTTAATTTTGCAGGAATCTTACAAGTTAATTAGAAGTCCATATGTAGTGTTTTGAAAACCTAATTTTAACCGTTTTTATACAACTGCAAAAAAATTGCGTTCGTGTATTGCTTTGGTTTCTGGACAATAACTTTAGTATAAGTGAATGGATCGCTATGAAATTTAATCACAAGGTTCAATAGCACAAAAGGAAGGTTGGGATTGATTTTAGGGGTTATGGTCCCAACTGTTTAGGAATTAGGGGTAAAAAAAGGGCTGAAAAAGGTATTTTTCTAGTTTCTGGACAATAACTTGTGTATAAATGTATGGATCTCTATGTAATTGTACCACAAGGTTCCATACCACAAAGGGAAGGTTGGGATTGACTTTGGGGGGTATGGCCAAAACCGTTCAGGAATTGGGGGCAAAAAAAGGGGGGAAAAACAAGGTTTTTCTTGTTAATGGACAATTACTTAAATATTAGTCTATGGATCTCTATGAAATTGAAACACAAGGTTCCATAACACAAAGGGAAGGTTGGGTTTGACTTTGGGAGTTATGGCTCAAACCGTTCAGGAAAAAGGGGGGAGGAACAAGGTTTTTCTGGTTTCCAGACAAATACTTTTAGTATTAGTCAATGGATCTCTATGAAATTGTACCAAAAGGTTCCATACCACACACAGAAGGTTGGGGTTGATTTTGTGGGTTGTTGCTTGAATCATTAAGAAATTAGAGGCCAAATAGGGGCCAAAAACAAGACTTTTCTAATACTGGGTAAGCTTGTTCTAACATAAATTATTTCTGATCTATATAAAGAAACAACAAATACTGATATGGCAGGAGATACACACCAAACAGGGTGTGTAAATTATTATATTTAGTTTGTAAACAGATTTACTAAGTATTGCACAACAGCAAAATAAATACAAATCTTTTAACCAATTTCAATGAGGATTAAATTAAAGTCTTGAATTGTTTGAGGTTTTTACCATGTATTACTATATTGGATATTTGGACATTTTTAAATAGGACTATATTGAGGTCCAAAGGGTCCAAAATTAAACTTTGTTTGATTTCATCAAAAACTGAATTCTGGTGTTTCTACAATATGCTGTATCTAACTGTGCTATCAGATTTTTTTGTCGAGCCTGCGACTTTTGTCGCAGAAAGCTCGACATAGGGATAGTGATCCGGCGGCGGCGGCGTTAGCTAACTTCTAAAAAGCTTTATATTTTAGAAGATGGAAGACCTGGATGCTTCATACTTTGTATATGGATGCCTCATGTTACGAAGTTTCCGTCAGTCACATGTCCAATGTCCTTGACCTCATTTTCATGGTTCAGTGACTACTTGAAAAAAAAGTTCAGATTTTTTGTAATGTTAAATTCTCTCTTATTATAAGTAATAGGATAACTATATTTGGTATGTGCGTACCTTGCAAGGTCCTCATGCCCGTCAGACAGTTTTCACTTGACCTCGACCTCATTTCATGGATTAGTGAACAAGGTTAAGTTTTCGTGGTCAAGTCCATATCTCAGATACTATAAGCAATAGGTCTAGTATATTCGGTGTATTGAAGGACTGTAAGGTGTACATGTCCAACTGGCAGGTGTCATCTGACCTTGACCTCATTTTCATGGTTCAGTGGTTATAGTTAAGTTTTTGTGTTTTGGTCTGTTTTTATACGACCGCAAAAAATTTTTTGTGGTCGTATATTGGTATGACGTTGGCGTCGTCGTCGTCGTCGTCGTCGTCGTCGTCCGGCGTCGTCGTCCGAATACACATTAGTTTTCGCACTCTAACTTTAGTTTAAGTGAATGGATCTCAATGAAATTTTACCATAAGGTTCAATACCACAAAAGGAAGGTGGGGATTGATTTTTGGGGTTATGGTACTAACAGTTAAGGAATTAGGGGCCAAAAGGGGCCAAAAATAAGCATTTTTGTAACTTCCAGACATAACTTGTGTGTAAGTGTATGGATCTCTCTGACATTGTACCACAAGGTTCCATATCACAAAGGGAATGCTGGGATTGATTTTGGGGGTAATTGCCTCCAAATTTTAGGAATTGGGGGCCAAAAAGGGGCAAAAAACAAGCATTTTTCTAGTTTCATGACAATATCTTGTACGTAAGTGTATGGATCTTTATGAAATTGCACTACAAGGTTCCATATCACAAAGGGAATACTGGGATTGATTTTTGGGGTAATTTCCTCCAAATTTTAGGAATTAGGGGCCAAAAAGGGGCAAAAAACAAGCATTTTTCTAGTTTCATGACAATAACTTGTTTGTAAGTGTATGGATCTTTATGAAATTGTACTACAAGGTTCCATATCACAAAGGGAAGGCTGGGATTGATTTTGGGGGTTTTCCCTCAAAATTTTAGTAATTAGGGGCCATAAAAGGGCAAAAAAAACATGCATTTTTCTAGTTTCAGGACAATAACTTGTGTGTAAGTGTATGGATCTTTATGAAATTGTACTGCAAGGTTCCATATCACAAAGGGAAAGCTGGAATTGAGTTTGGGGGTAATTGCCCTAAACGTTTAGGAATTTGGGGCCAAAAAGGGGCCAAAAAACAAGCATTTTTCTAGTTTCCAGACAATAACTTGTGTTCAAGTGTATGAATCTCTCTGAAATTGTACTGCAAGGTACCATACCACAAAGGGAAAGCTGGGATTGAGTTTGGGGGTGATGAATCATAAGGGGGTTCAAAAAATTGGGGGGGGGGGATTTTTTTTTCCTTTTTTTTCTTTAACATTTTCCATTTTAAATTGGTTATTTCTGATTTATATATAAAAGCAAATAATAATGATATGGTTTGAATAGGCATACATGTGAACCTCCCGACGGGAGTACAATAATCCCGTTTTCAGGGGTCTCCTCCCGACCTCCCGTTGAAGAGGAAAAAATCCCGTGTATGAAATTTTTCATGAATGAAAAATTTCTGCCCAACATATCATCTCAGGCATCTGATGTAACTGACATTACCTGAAGTTATATTTTACCTGTAAATCAATTAACATGCATAATTATATGGCTTCACTTGTCAGCTTGGGTGTCAAACATACAGGTAATCAACGATTTTTACCTCAGGCTAACTGCCGTTGTGTAACAAAAACTGTGTATTTATTGGGTTACTTCCCTTGATTTATCCTGTTTTAAGTTACTTTCCTTTTAATAATGAAAATTTTTAAAAGAATATAAATAAAATATAAATTGAACAAATAATCATAAAAGGATGGTTATTAAATGATTTTAAATGTCTTAGGACAAATAAAAAAATAATAATTTGAAAATTATTTGAGGATTCTAGACTTCCTTTCAAGGCTTAAATTGAAATTTATATAATAACTATGACCCTAATTTTACAGATAAAATGATTTTCTGAGTTTGCAAAGAAAAACTATTTGCAAGAGAAAAAAAAAAAATAAAAACTATTTGCAGATAGCTAATCAAATGCTCTGGTTGCAATGATTGTTTTATAGAATATGAAGTAAAAAATTTAAAGAACATACTGGAAAAATACAATGTTAGATTGAACATGTAGAATATAAAGATGGAGAAACTTTATAAGTACAAGGGTACTATAAACATAATAAATTGGATGGAAAGTTGAAGAAAACACACTTTAAAAGACCATTTTTACAGCACACGGTTACATTTACAACAAAATTAATGTCGATTAAAAACCTCCTGATCTGAGTCCTAATCTCCTGACCAAAATTTCCCAATCTCCTGATCTGAGTTTCACAGTCCATCACATGTATGAATAGGTAAATTGAAAATTTTTAAGTTCTTAGACCACTTTCATTCTGTGTCAGAAACCTATGCTGTGTCAAATATTTAATTACAATCCAAATTCAGTGCTGTATCAAGCTTGAATGTTGTGTCCATACTTGCCCCAACTGTTCAGGGTTCGACCTCTGCGGTCGTATCAAGCTGCGCCCCAGCGGAGCATTTTATTCTAATACTATATGCAATAGTTCAACTATATTTGGTGTATGGAAATATTTTATGATCTATATGTCAGTCACGCAGGTTTTATTTGACCTTGACCTCATTTTCAAGGTTCATTGCTCATTGTTAAGTTTTTGTGTTTTGGTCTGTTTTTCTTAAACTATAAGCAATAGGTCAACTATATTTGTTGTATGGAAGAATTGTTAGCTGTACATGCCTGCCTAGCATGGTTCATCTGATCTTGACCTCATTTTCATGGTTCATTGGTCAATGTTTAGTTTACTTGGTTAATGTTAAGTTAATGTGACAGTTGTAATAAAGCTTTATATTTAGGACTATCAACATAATATCAATGATAAGTAAAGAAGGCGAGACATTTCAGCGTGTACACTCTTGTTTCAGTTAACATTATGTACAGTCTGCAGTTAAAGTTTTTAAAACATGTATTAGATTCATAAACCTTCTTAGATTTTTACCAAACTTGAATAGAACTTCTTATAATCAAAAGATAGTATCTAGAAGAAAATTTTTAATAATTTTTTCCGAATTTTTGTTGAGCCTGCAACTAACAGCAAAAGTAGGCGAGACACTGGGTTCCGCGGAACCCTTACGAATTTTTAATGTTTTACTCCCTCTGTCTGTCCATCTATATGAATGTTCGTAACAAGATATTTCCATAGCAACCTATAAACCAACATATATAGGAACTACAAATCAGAGCTTACTGACTTTTTTCATAGGCTTCATGTGAACATGCTATACTGGATGATCCGTTTTCAGATTCATCCCTCATTTACTTCCTGTTTACCAAATACTTATATATTCAAACACAGAATGGCATTGTATGAAATTTGAGTCACATTTTTTCTCTCTAGGGAAACTACTAATAAGAGCTTCCTAAATTTTTTTTATTAGGCCTCATGAAAACATGCTTTATGGTGTGATGCGTTTTAAGATTCCCCCCTCACCAACTTCCTGTTTACCAAATACTTATATATTCCAACACATAATGACCATTTATGGAATTTGAGTTGCATATTTCTAATGAACTACAATAAGATTCCTGAATTTTGTTATCAGGCTTCATGTGGACATGCTTTACTTTATGAAGTGGTTTTTATACGACCCCAAAAATTTTTTGGGATCGTATAATGGTATGATGTCGTAGTCGTTTGCGTCGTCTGCATTGTCGTCCAAAGACACATTGGTTTTGGACAATAACTTTAGTTTTAGTTAATGGATCTCTATTTTTTTAGAAGGTTCAATACCACAAAAGGAAAGTTGGGATTGATTTTGAGGATGATGGTCCCAACCATTTAGGAATAAGGGGTCCAAAAGGGGCCCAAAACAAACATTTTTCTAGTTTCAGGATAATAACTTGTGTATAAGTATTTCGATTGCTCTGAAATTGTACAACAATGTTTAATACCACAAGAAGTAGGTTGGGATTCATATTAAGGGTTATGGGGCAAACAGTTTAGGAATTAAGGGCCGGACAATAACTTGTGTGTAAGTGTATGGATCTCTCTGATATTGTACCATAAGGTTCCATATCACAAAGGAAAGTCTGGCATTGAGTTTGGGGGTAATTGCCTCAAACATGTAGGAATAAGGGGCCAAAAAAGGGCCAAAAACATGCATTATTCTAGTTTCCAAACTATAACTTGTGTAAGTTGTGTATGGATCTCTCTGAAATTGTACTACAAGGTTCCATACTACAAAGGAAAGAATTGGATCGAGTCTTGGGGTAAAAGTTGCGGGGGGTGGCGGTTTCCAATTTTTTTAAAGAATTCATATTTTTTTTCAAATTTTGTAAAAGGTTCAAGAAGTAATCTTCAATTGCACAGTATTGCGCAATAGATTTGTAAGATCATTTACCACATTTATTTTGTGTCAGAAACCTATATAATGTCAAAAATTTGATCATAATCAAAATTCAGACAGTATCAAGCTTGAATATTATATCCAAATTTGCCCTAACTGTTCAGGGTTCGACCTCTGCGGTCGTATCAGGCTGCGCTCAGCGAAGCATTTCATTTTTCATTGCTCACAGTTCTACTTGTTGCTCAATGCTTTTTGGTGGTTTCCTTACAAAATCATGGACAGCCATTTTTCTCTATACAATTTGGAGATTGCATTGGACCCTTATTCCATGGAAGACTCTTAAATTCCTTTCCAAAAGAAAGACTGTGCATGACTTATGAAAGGTCGTTGGTTTCTGTTGGATGTTTCAAAATCTGATTTTGTTGGAAAGTTATTTAAATACAAATTTTATACTATTTTTGCCTTTTATTCAGTTCTTTTTTGAATAACCTTCAACCTGATTTAAGTGGTTCATTGTGTCAGGTTTAAGATGATACATTGATCAATGGTTAAACGATACTTATAAGATGTGCTCTGATGGCTATAGGCGAGCTGTAGTTGTTAACATCCCAATCCTGTGATCTTAGCTCCATAATAAAGTCTGTATTTATATTTATTTCAAGTTAATTTTGCAGGAATCTTACAAGTTAATTAGAAGTCCATATGTAGTGTTTTGAAAACCTAATTTTAACCGTTTTTATACAACTGCAAAAAAATTGCGTTCGTGTATTGCTTTGGTTTCTGGACAATAACTTTAGTATAAGTGAATGGATCGCTATGAAATTTAATCACAAGGTTCAATAGCACAAAAGGAAGGTTGGGATTGATTTTAGGGGTTATGGTCCCAACTGTTAAGGAATTAGGGGTAAAAAAAGGGCTGAAAAAGGTATTTTTCTAGTTTCTGGACAATAACTTGTGTATAAATGTATGGATCTCTATGTAATTGTACCACAAGGTTCCATACCACAAAGGGAAGGTTGGGATTGACTTTGGGGGGTATGGCCAAAACCGTTCAGGAATTGGGGGCAAAAAAAGGGGGGAAAAACAAGGTTTTTCTTGTTAATGGACAATTACTTAAATATTAGTCTATGGATCTCTATGAAATTGAAACACAAGGTTCCATAACACAAAGGGAAGGTTGGGTTTGACTTTGGGAGTTATGGCTCAAACCGTTCAGGAAAAAGGGGGGAGGAACAAGGTTTTTCTGGTTTCCAGACAAATACTTTTAGTATTAGTCAATGGATCTCTATGAAATTGTACCAAAAGGTTCCATACCACACACAGAAGGTTGGGGTTGATTTTGTGGGTTGTTGCTTGAATCATTAAGAAATTAGAGGCCAAATAGGGGCCAAAAACAAGACTTTTCTAATACTGGGTAAGCTTGTTCTAACATAAATTATTTCTGATCTATATAAAGAAACAACAAATACTGATATGGCAGGAGATACACACCAAACAGGGTGTGTAAATTATTATATTTAGTTTGTAAACAGATTTACTAAGTATTGCACAACAGCAAAATAAATACAAATCTTTTAACCAATTTCAATGAGGATTAAATTAAAGTCTTGAATTGTTTGAGGTTTTTACCATGTATTACTATATTGGATATTTGGACATTTTTAAATAGGACTATATTGAGGTCCAAAGGGTCCAAAATTAAACTTTGTTTGATTTCATCAAAAACTGAATTCTGGTGTTTCTACAATATGCTGTATCTAACTGTGCTATCAGATTTTTTTGTCGAGCCTGCGACTTTTGTCGCAGAAAGCTCGACATAGGGATAGTGATCCGGCGGCGGCGGCGTTAGCTAACTTCTAAAAAGCTTTATATTTTAGAAGATGGAAGACCTGGATGCTTCATACTTTGTATATGGATGCCTCATGTTACGAAGTTTCCGTCAGTCACATGTCCAATGTCCTTGACCTCATTTTCATGGTTCAGTGACTACTTGAAAAAAAAGTTCAGATTTTTTGTAATGTTAAATTCTCTCTTATTATAAGTAATAGGATAACTATATTTGGTATGTGCGTACCTTGCAAGGTCCTCATGCCCGTCAGACAGTTTTCACTTGACCTCGACCTCATTTCATGGATAAGTGAACAAGGTTAAGTTTTCGTGGTCAAGTCCATATCTCAGATACTATAAGCAATAGGTCTAGTATATTCGGTGTATTGAAGGACTGTAAGGTGTACATGTCCAACTGGCAGGTGTCATCTGACCTTGACCTCATTTTCATGGTTCAGTGGTTATAGTTAAGTTTTTGTGTTTTGGTCTGTTTTTCTTATACTGTATGCAATAGGTCTACTATATTTGGTGTATGGAATGATTGTAAGGTGTACATGTCTAGCTGGCAGGTGTCATCTGACCTTGACCTCATTTTCATGGTTCAGTGGTTATAGTTAAGTTTTTGTGTTTTGGTCTGTTTTTCTTATTCTGTATGCAATAGGTCTACTATATTTGGTGTATGGAATGATTGTAAGGTGTACATGTCTAGCTGGCAGGTGTCATCTGACCTTGACCTCATTTTCATGGTTCAGTGGTCAAAGTTAAGTTTTTGAGTTTTGGTCTTTTTTTCTAATACTGCATGCAATAGGTCAGCTATATTTGGTGTATGGAATGATTGTAAGGTGTACATGTCTAGCTGGCAGGTGTCATCTTACCTTGGCCTCATTTTCATGGTTCAGTGGTCAAAGTTAAGTTTTTGAGTTTTGGTCTTTTTTTCTAATACTATATGCAATAGTTCAACTATATTTGGTGTATGGAAATATTTTATGATCTATATGTCAGTCACGCAGGTTTTATTTGACCTTGACCTCATTTTCAAGGTTCATTGCTCAGTGTTAAGTTTTTGTGTTTTCGTCTGTTTTTCTTAAACTATAAGCAATAGGTTAACTATATTTGTTGTATGGAAGAATTGTTAGCTGTACATGCCTGCCTAGCATGGTTCATCTGACCTTGACCTCATTTTCATGGTTCATTGGTCAGTGTTTACTTTACCTGGTTAATGTTAAGTTTATGTGACAGTTGTAATAAAGCTTTATATTTAGGACTATCAACATAATATCAATGATTAGTAAAGAAGGCGAGACATTTCAGCGTGTGCACTCTTGTTAATTTTGGGCCCTGTTTTCAAATTAGTCTATATTAAGGTCCAAAGGGTCCAAAATTAAACTTTGTTTGAATTCATGGGGTTTTTTTTATATGCTGAATCTAACCATGGAATTAGATTTTTGATATTGGACCATTATGTAGATTAAATGTCCCATTTCAAATTTTTAAGTTATCTGACAACATTTATTCTGTGTCAGAAATCTATAATATGTCAAATATTTAATCAATATCCAAATTCAGAGCTGTATCAAGCTTGAATATTGTGTCCATACTTGCCCCAAGTGTTCAGAGTTCGACCTCTGCGGTCGTATCCAGCTGCTCCAGGCGGAGCGCATTTTTACCATTTGCCATGGCATTATCAGTTTGTCTCTTACATATGAGTGAATATCTCTTTGCTATCTTCTGTTATCCTGTCTTTTACCTGGTATCTGTACTTGTTAAGTACCAGTCCATATAAGAATCATGCAAAATGTAATTCATAGATGGATGCCTTAAATGTACTTGTTAAGTACCAGTCCATATAAGAATCATGCAAAATGTAATTCATAGATGGATGCCTTAAATGAAATTGTTTGATAACTTGTTTAGGATATAAAAGGATGTTTAAAATCATTTATAATTTTTTATACGAACCCAGGTGAGATATAAATTCTATAGAATGCCTTATAAAACTCATGTTGAGGGAGATAACTCCAGTAATATCCAATAGAATTTATTGTAAAATAGTTGCCAAACATCTGTCCTATTAAGGCAGTAAATGGAAAATCTAATCTTAAATGTAACAACTTTTTGCCTAAAATTTACCATCAAATCCATAATTGACATGTATTAGGTTACCATTTTGAATTGCTGGAATTCACAAAAGTTTGATTAATACAATATACTAGTAATCACATATAAAACATAACCTACCTCAAATACGCAGTTTCAATGAGATTTTATCCAAATCTGAATCGTACAAGTAACAAATAGCCTTTTGTTTGAAAGTTTTCATTTGTATGACATCATGTTTTGCCATGATTTATGGGCCAAAATCATTCATGAAGTTTCAAGGAATTTTATTTTATCTTAAATTTTTATATTTTTGCAAGCTCTTAATATGTTCAATTTCTTTTGTAATGCATTATAACAGGAATAACAGTACTGTAATTGAAGAGTTGTTGCCGCCAATTTTGATTTGACAATCACCAATTGAAGGCGGCAAGTCTCTTCAACTACAATACTGTTATTTCTTAAATAATACTCTTTCCTTTCATCTACTCCTATATTGCAACTGATTGAAAAAAATAAATATTTGTAGTCTTTCATGAAGTGTATCACAAAATTTGGATTTTGCATGATTCTTTATATATGGACTACTATTCAACATCCCAATCCTTTTGTCTTTGCTTGGTAATTTTTATTGGCAAGCACATCTTGTCTGAAGTTAACAAGACAATTAGTAGGTTTAGTTTGATAAAAATCTGGTTTTGTGTGGTTTAGTAGATATACCAACTCTGTTGGAAATGTTTCTGGGTTTTTTCTCTCCTTTAATATGGTACTTCATTTGTTTTGATATCTTTTAAAATGACAAAGTTACAGCTATCAAAATTTTCATGAATTTAGACTGTTGTTCTACCTTAAACAGAAAGTCTTCACTATATATATATTATGGAAAGCCACAGTGAACCCCCCGGGGGTTCACTGTGGCTTTCCATACCATACTGTGGCTTTCCATAATATATATATGATGTATTTATATATATTTCAGATCTACAATTCTTAATAGAAATCCTGAATTGTGGCTTTTTAGTTCTAATGTCGAAAACACAACTATTGTTATAACATTTTTGTGATAAATAGCTAGTTTCCCTCTTAAAAGGTTTAGAAAATCACAGATGAAATATTTTACTTTTGATTTTGAGAAGGAAATTTCTGTACTTACTTCTAACCAATGAGAAAAATTAATTTCCTTAGTAATAATACATTTGAGGAAAACATGTCTTAATTCAGTCCAATCATTTCTAATGTATTTTCGTTTTCTTCATAAGAATCCTCTATGACATCTAAACACTGTAAATATCTCACTAGTCTCTTGGGAATAGTATTCTCTATATATTCAATGTATTTCCACAAAAATTGTCCATAATGTTGACGCAAGGAGTTTCTACAAGCTTGCATTAGTTTTGGTGGAAGAACTTTATCATAAATAATTTCAATAAGTTTTTTATCTTTACAGTTACTTGATAGATCCTTTAATGTCTCAAAGGAAACTTTGCATGTTGTCTGCAGTACCATCCTTAGGAGTGGTATATATGCATTACGTGCAGTTCTTGACTTTAAAAGGGACAAATTTTCCTCTAAATTTAATTCTCCATTTTCTTTAATGAGTATTACTATAAATTTCATGAGAATCCTAAAAGGCAAATAATTCTCGGTGAAAAGACTTGGATTGTTACTCAGTGCTCCTTGTCTGAGTAAGCACTCAAAAACCTCGAATTTCTGGTAACGAACGGCCATCATTAAAGGAAATGTACATTTCAAGCTGCAGTAATCCACATCACAATCTTGTTCTACCAAAGACATAACATGAACTAATGTATTTGAAGGATGTGAAATAACACCAAGAAACAAACAACAGTCTTGTGAATGTTTATCTCGAAAACATTTACCATCTGTGGCCACTAAAAGGTGACTTATATCATCCAGACCCAAAATTTGAGCCCAACACAACAAACTGAATCCATTAAAGAATGTATTGCTGTTAAAACCATAGTCTAACAGTTTCTTAACTTTCTGGGCATCGTGAAGAAACAATGCATCCACTAAAAGGTCATTTCCTTTCCTCCCAGCAACATTTATCACATCAGAACTGATACTTCCGAATAATGTTTTCTTCTTTTGAAGGGCTTGAAGAATAAGTGTTATCATTTCAAGAGAACCTGGAAAAAAATAGAATTTGTGACCTGATACAATCAACTATTGAACTCAATCCAATCTTTTTATAACTATATATAGTGCATTTATTTATTTTTTATTTGTTAATTTATTTATTAGTTTGTTAAATCAAATTCAAGTCTGCATTAAAAATCAGGGTTATGTGAATTGTAGTAGTAGAAGTACTATATGTATTGACATGAATGAAATTTACACAGGTACTCGACAAGATTTTTTAATATAAGTCAATACTTAAAACACCGGTATTTTTAACAAAACTCGTCTTGTATCTGTTGAAATGTATACATTTCGCTCTGAACATGTTTACATGACATTGACCTCATATCCAGAGTTCAATGGTCATCGTTTTTTCTTTATTAGGTCAGTTTCTGAGTTGATTTGAGCAATTTGTCAACTACAAACCACTGTAAAACGAACAAGTCCGTTTGGCAGGAGTCATCTTATTTGTTATTATCTATGTTAGATTTTCGTGCTTAGCTGGGCAAGCTTCGCAGTTATCATGATAAACTTGGTCTATAAAATCATTGTTATGTTGCACATTTTGAGATTAAGTTAATGATAGGAGAAACTTCAGAAAATTTCCTGTTGGGATAAAAGTTGAAGATAGCACATACTTCAGTAATTTTAAACATTCAAGACAAGTTAAGTTGAAGGACTGATCGAAGTACCTTAGTAATGAAAATAACAATGTATAAGCTCTTTCTGGATTGACCTTCATTGTTGAGACCCAAATATTAGAAACCCAAGAATGTGTAATTATCTGGAATTGTGAGGAGAATTATGACTACAAATTACTTACAGTAACAGAATAGCAAATTCATCTAAGATCAACTTTGCCTGAGGGAGTTGGAACCTTTGTTTTGAATATATTTTTTTTTGATTTATCAACGGAGAATTTAAGAAAAATGCTTTATGAATATTTTATTTTTAATTTTAAGCTGAATATAGAATTTACCTTTTGATATTAATTCTATTGATCGGTTGTGGTTTGCTATACGTCCAGTGGCAAACAGTTCATCAATGTTCAGGACGAGAGCTCTTACGTCAACCTTTAAATTTAAAGGTTGGAGATGGAACATACTTCTGTGATTTACGTTTTGATATTAAGTTTGAGATAGACCATACTTCTGTGATTTACCTTTCGATATTAAGTTGGAACTAGACCATACTTCTGTGATTTACGTTTTGATATTAAGTTGGAGATAGAACATACTCCTGTAATTTATCTTTTGATATTAAGTTGGAGATAGACCATACTTCTGTGATTTACCTTTTGATATTAAGTTGGAGATGGAACATACTTCATTATTTACCTTTTGAGATTGATATAAAAATAAGATATGGTATGGTTGCCACTGAGACTTCTTTCCACCAGAGACGGAATGACGTAGAAGTCAGCAACTATAGATCACCGTACGGCTTTTGACAATTAGCAAAACCCACACCACACGACAAGTTATGATAAAAGACCCCAAAATGACAATTGTAAAGCAATTCAAAAGTGAAACAAACGGCCTGATTGATGTACAAAACAATAAACGAAAAAAAAATATTAAGTTGAAGATATGACATACTTCAGTTATTTACCTTTTTGAGATTTAGCTGAAGAGATGATATACTTTATTAATTTACCTTTTGCGATTAAGTTGAAGATAGGACATACTTCGAACTCCTTTTTACTTTTTAACTCAAGAAATGCACGCATCAATTTCATATCATTATTGGTTACACATAGATCCGCCGCTTTCCGTACATTTTGTCTCTGTGTATCAACTGTTGAGTTATATTTAGTAAGAATTCTCATACTTTCAATTTTCCGATGTCCAACTGCATAGTCCAGTGCTGTGTTTTTTTCTGTCCAATAAATACGTTCAAGATATCTTGTGTGAAGAGACGGAGTTCGGTCAAATCTTGATAACAACATGTCCAAAATGTCATGTCTGTCCATTTTAACACAGGACACCATTAAAGTGCATGGATTATTATGATCAGCATTTTCTGTACTTTTTTCACAGTGCCAATACTCAATCATCTTCTCGTTATACTGTAGTAGATCAAATAGACATTTAGTTTGGTTATAAACAAGTGTTAAATAACATGGCGTAAAATAATGAACATCTGTTATCATAGTCAACTCCATGGAGCCTCCTGTAAACATTAGCTTAAAATGAGACATAATTTCATTCAATTTTTCTGTTTTGCCAATAATAATAAGTACATGTATTAGATAAAGACCACCATAAGCTCGGTCTTCTACTGGGCCTTTTATTTTGACATCTTGTTCAAAAATTGCTTCTGTAAAAGATGGGATTTTCAAAATGTCGGTTTCACCACACAAATCCAGTATAACATGAGGACACATGCCACACAGAATACACTTTCCTAGAACCCTCACAGCTGACGTGGAACCCATCGACTCCGGAAGTAATCCTTGCTCTAAGTAGAACGCACAGGAACACATTTCACCAGATCGCAAATCTTTATATACATCTGAAATTCAAAATGTAATTAAAGTATTTGTAAACAATATTGTTGATTATTAATAAGTGATTGCTACTATCAAAAATAAACTCATTTTTCTTCTTTACGCAAGATAATAGAATTATTATCGTCTTATTTATTCGTCTGCATCAAAGCATAAAATAGCAGTTTTTAATATAGATCAGGGCTAAATGGTAGCTGTTTATTCTGCAGAATATATATTACAAAATGTAATGATTGAAAGTGGAACTAGTGGACGTTAATGAGACTACCGGTACCACCCAACAAAATCTAGAAGTCAATAAAGATCTTCAAAAGGGTTGATATTACCAGATATTGGTTTAACATTAGTATATGCTATAGTATAAAAAGAGAGAGAGAGAGAAGATACCAATAAGGCATTAAAAAAAAACAAGTCCAATAAAACGGAAAACACTGGCGAAAATGGAACAATGAAAAGATAAACAACAACAGCAAAAACACTGGCGAAAATGGAACAATGAAAAGATAAACAACAACAGCAAAAACTACACCGAATAGTCAAGATTGAGCACAAAAAACCGGGTGGAACTCAGGTCATCCGGAAGGCTCCACTAGTGGCAAGTAAAACTACGGTGACAAGAAGTCACATTCGGTAGTTTCAAAATCGGTCAACCAAATCAAGGTGGCGTCCTTAAAACTTTCAAAGGACGACTTCAACTTAACCATTTGGAATCCTTAATGCAATGGCTTCCTTGCAATCACTGACTCTATCATGATAGAAATTTAACGCAAGCCCTTGAACAGTATGTTACAAATAATTAATTCTATACTCTTTTATTGATATATTTCTATTTATTAAATGTCTCTGTTTATATGGATATGTAAATTATTTTGTGTGGGTCCAGTTCTCCCTGCTATTACAGGATATGCTTGTTGTTATATATTATAATAATCTAACTGTACTAAACTTACTAAATCTCATAGGGGTATTTATTATCGAAGAGTTTTCTTTGAGAAATCGAAAAATATTCTCTTCTGAACTGTCACAAATAAATTTAAACCATTCATACTGGTTACTCTGTGGATTAACTTGAGGTTCTACAAAAGAAATTTAAACCATTCATACTGGTTACTCTGTGGATTGACTGGAGGTTCTACAAAAGAAAGTTAAACCATTCATACTGGTTACTCTGTGGATTGACTGGAGGTTCTACAAAAGAAAGTTAAACCATTCACACTGGTTACTCTGTGGATTGACTGGAGGTTCTACAAAAGAAAGTTGAACCATTCACACTGGTTACTCTGTGGATTGACTGGAGGTTCTACAAAAGAAAGTTAAACCATTCATACTGGCTACTCTGTGGATTGACTTGAGGTTCTACAAAAGAAAGTTAAACCATTCATACAGGTTACTCTGTGGATTGACTTGAGGTTCTACAAAAGAAAGTTAAACCATGCATACTGGTTACTCTGTGGATTGTCTGGAGGTTCTACAAAAGAAATTTAAACCATTCATACTGGCTACTCTGTGGATTGACTGGAGGTTCTACAAAAGAAAGTTAAACCATTCATACTGGTTACTCTGTGGATTGACTGGAGGTTCTACAAAAGAAAGTTAAACCATTCATTCTGGCTACTCTGTGGATTGCCTGGAGGTTCTACAAAAGAAAGTTAAACCATTCATACTGGCTACTCTGTGGATTGACTGGAGGTTCTACAAAAAAGAGTTAATTTTCGCATCGGATTTTTAGCAGATTCATAAATTATTTTATTTATTTTTTTTACATTTTAATTTGTCTTACTAATAGTATAAAATCGTTCAAATGTTAACTTCAAAAATACTTTGCGGACTCCATCAATATTTTGTTAACCGATATATGGAATATTTGTGTAACAAATGACCATTATGTCTTTTAATTGCTTCCTATTCCACTCCATTTTAACTCTGGTGGATAGTTGTCTCATTGGCAATTATACCACATAGCCTCACTTTTATATGTATATGTTCCACTTGCTGTAACCACAGTCAGTCTTGCCCTTTTTCATCGTTTATGACATTGTCGAATACGACTTATCGTCGCATTTTTAATTTGCATCGAGTGACACGACAGGTGTCAATGTTGGAGAAGGAACTTATTACCATTTCAGAGCACCTTACTTCATCCCCGGTTTATTGGTGGGTTCGTGTTGATCAATCTTTAGTTTTATGTGAAGTGTAACAGTTTTGTTGTTTATATTTTTCGCCATGGCGTGTCTGTTTTTATTGGACTTATGATTATATTGATTTATTGATTTGGTATATATTCTTAGTTCTCTCTTTTTCTATGTATATATATGTATCTTCTCCAGATGGTGACAAGCTGAAAATTCCCTCGCCATGATCGTTACATCGTCTAGTGTTGCCTGTTGTAGGGATTAAGGATTTTAAACATCCACATTCTGATACATGTTATATCATGTATATATAAACGCATGAATTGTGTCAATGAAGGAGGAAACATAATAAGGTCCGTAAATTAGCAATTGAAAGAGCAAAATGGAAAAAATCTTCAAATAGAAATTCATCCATTATTGAAGAAAAAACGACTATATAAGGGAGCACAATTATTTTCTTGCAGAGTATACATTTAGCCATGTAAAAAAATAGGGGGAGGCTAACTTGCAGTGAGTAAATCTAAATCAATTTTAGGTTTTGGTGTTCATGGTATCTCTCAGCAGTCTAAAACAACTTCCATAAAAAATGTATCTAGATCGTGTCAGTATAAGTAAGGTCAATATGATTCATGACTAATATTATAATATACATAATCAAGATATTTGAAATGATAATTTTATAGAGGAGGCATGTTGTCAAAAATAGTATTGTAATAAATATATATTGATTTTTTTTCAATGCTACATGTTTGTGTTGTTTTCTGTCTATCGTTTTGTTATTTATATGTTTTTCTTTAGTAACAATCCTATATTGTTTGGATTTTAAACTAATAAGATTCTTATTCTTATTCTTATTCTTATCAATTATATACTAGTATGTAATTGTATAAATTCGATTATCTCAATATGTCTCGGTTGACCTATTTTAAATATAAACAGAGACGACAATCAAGGTCTTATTAATTATTACCTAGTTTGTTTCCTTTCGTATTTGAGATGCTGCTGCCCTTCTGACCCATGTGTATATATCATGTCCTTGTCCAAAGTGAACGAAATTTTATTACTATAAATTACGACGTGTTTTATGTTCAATAACAATCGGGTTATATCACATATTCACATGAGTGATTCAGGTAAATTTAGATCTCTTTAGTCACTAGCGATCTGAAAAATCAAAGCACACTCGTACTGTTAACTCGGATGAACCCTGGCAAATAAATCATACATAATTCAATTTCCCTGTAGACTACTAGAAGAAAGTTGCAGTTGTTTGTTACGTCCATATCAAATTTAGGACGATAACATGTTAAACAGTTTATCGGTTTGGTAAGTTTTATGGGCATAGAGAGTTGTCATCCGCGAATGGGACAACACAAAGAGATATCGAAAGGTGCATGGCACTGTCTGAACTCAATAAACGTTCGCAACTTCCGATTAACCGTGAATGTGAATAAGATGTCAAACAGGCACCATCCCGAGAATATGTTTGTCTATTCCTATACTAACGCGTGCATGTGTATTTATATTTGAAAAAAAATCAGGGGGAAATTGGCCCTTCTCCCTGAATTTATTTTTCAAAAGCGGCAATTTAAAAAAAGTTCTTTAAATATTTAGTTAAATTCACATAATCAGAGTTCATGAGTGTGCTTTTAGGTTCTTACAATATTATTGCATAATTTTGAAAGCATTTTGCAATTTTTGTATCAAAATGCCTACACTCTGCAAAATGTAGAGCCGAATTGCATTTTTACAATTTTGCACCCAAATGCCTTCACCAGCAACATGTTGAACCGAATTGCATCTTTGCAATTTTGTATCAAAATGCCTTCATCAGCAACATGTAAAGGCTAATTGCATGTTTGCAATTTTGTTTCAAAATGCCTTCATCATCAACTTGTACGTAGAACCGAATTGCATGTTTGCCCCTTTGTATCAATAACCTTCAACAGCAACATGTAGAGTCGCATCTTATGTTATGAAAATATGTTAAAATATTTGAAATTTTTATTTTTTAAAAATATATTAAGACTCTGTTTAGTCTCTTTAATATTCAATATCCAGTAGAATTTAACAATTTATTCATTTTGACTATGTATACGAAATCAATACAGAGGAAATTGTCCCTACCACTTTCATTAAGCCTCTCAATTTAGTTTTTTTCATGAGAATTCTTAAAATATTATTTGAAGAATTTACTAAAACCATCGTTGATACATGTAACATGTATATCAAAATGAATATATGCTCATTGCACATGAAACTAGTACGGGTTATTTTAGACACAAATCCTTCAAGCATTTGACAAGAAAAATATTTAAGGAAAGGAGCAGTCCTTTTTTTCTGTTCTATGCGTATGAATAAAATTAACTTTTCTTCTTTGATAACATGATATATTATGTAATTACATTAACGAAATAAAATTTTCTGTACAAGATGCGCATTTCGACAATTATAAATGTCATCAGTGATGCTCGAGGCCAAAATATTTGAAAATCCAAAACTTTGAAAAAATGAAGAGCTTATAAACCAAAAAGGACAAAAAAGTATAGACAAAGCCTGACAAGGAAAATATTTTGTAACAGCAAATTCTAATTATACACAATATCCGTATGTTCATGCCAGTACCAACATACTGGCTACTCCATGGGTCTCAGAATGGAACATTTGTCATCCAGGGCTATTTTGCATGTTGTGTCATCTTTGAAAATTATTTCTTTGACAAGAATGTTTTGCCCTACATTGAACAGCAGTTACAAAATGTACATTAAGAATTCATGTCAGTTTTCTACACCTTATAATAAAAAAATAATGAACTAGGTAAAATCATGCATTGTTATTATTTTAACAGATATCTTCAAAGCAAACAGGCATTTAGGTTCACGAGTGCATTTCTTTTTTTTTATAAAGAAAGCCAACCGATCCCTTGTGGTTCACTGGTACAGTATATTTGAGTTTGAATTATTTTGAAAGAGAATTAAGGAAATTAATCAATTTCATTTGTTTTCTCAAGCAGTATTTGATATGTTTTTAATTAGATTGATTACGCATTATAAACTTGTAATGAGTTATCTAAATATAATATAAATAGCCAGTTTGTTTTGTTAACAATGTCTCAAATCTTATTTGAAAAACAGTTTTTGTCATCCAAGCCTCCGTGTTCTGAAATTGTTCAGTAAATTAATATTCCGATGAAGTGTCGTTTTTGGCCAGAATAAAAAATACAAACTTTCCCTAAAATGACATGTACATGATTACAAGTCTTTTATAGACCATAATAAATGTTTTTGTTTTTTGTTTTTTTTCCATCACTGTAATTAATAAAATCAATGTTAATCACATGTATATATCATAATTTGTATTCTAAATATATATATTGAAAAAAAGAATTCATCTGCCCAGACCAAAAAATACCTTAAAAGGGCACTAGCTACGAGATATATAAAAATATAAAATAAGATTTTTTTTGTTCAATCATTAATGAAAGCGAAATAGTGAAATAATATATCGCTTTTAGCAGTCAGTATGGTTCAAGTTTGTCAAAATTAGCTAAGGAACATTGATGATGAATTATTCACTTACAATAATTCGACCTTATTGAATCCGTCATGATTCGTGTGAACTTTAATCTAACCCCTTAGCTAGAGATGGATACCGCATGCATTGTGCGTGTTCAATTATTTAAAGGAAAAGAATGTCAACATTGAAAGTGAAACAAAGGTAAATCATTTAATTGACTGATCCGATCCACAAAAAATCAATCTTATACAGGTAAAAACGATGATTAACATATATTTTTAATCCGCTATAATATGAAATTAAACAGACATAGAAAAATCCAAATGCACGAGTCTGATATCTATTTATATCTATATTTATGTTTATATCGCTTATATGGCAATCGGAGGTCTTCGGGGGTCAACTCGACAGTTAATTAGATTGCGTCTAGACTAAAATACACACGAAACGAAGCTACATGTTATCGAGCCCATGCCCGGTATATTGTTTATTTTAGACTTTTTATATGCCAGCTTTAGCTGGCACTTATGGTAGAAGCATCGAATTGGAATAAAGAACGATAACTCTCTCTACATGAGCAATCTAAAAAGTTTCGTCACTCTCGTTAAATCTCGTACGATTTTTTTTTTTAATTTTCGAAGTAGATCAAGTCAAGGTATCTAACTCTTAAAAATATTTGTTTTCTTTTTTTTCATTATATTTATTAAATAAACATTGTATTCTTGCTTGGCTCCAAATATAAGGTCAATTCTTCAAATAATGAAAACGAAATTAGCATTGGAATATCCGTAAGGACAATTTCAGTACATTAGTTTAACCCTTATATTTTTAATGGCTGCCAGATTCTCGTTTAATCGCGATTTTGAAAAAACGGGACACAACGGAATAAATTCGATGTTAAATGTGACATGAATTCTTATTTGTTTACAAAAACAAGAATTTAGAAATTTTAGTAACTTGTGCAGTTTATTTAAATTTTATTGTACCACGGAAATAACCGAAGTTTGGACAACAACATCTTACGCCATGTTTCGTCGTCTGCTTCATCTTTCCATTATCAGTGACAAATCTGCTAAATTACCACAGGTACTTCATTTAAAAGTCACAATGTCATAATTAATGATAACATTTGAGTGTAAAAGTTCCGTCCAGCCATTGGAACACAGAAAAACCCTCTGCAAGCAATAAATTTTGGGAGAAACGTAGCCGGAGGTGAAGGTAGTAAAATCTGCTACAGAATTTCCCATATCAAGTTACTGTGATAATGAAGTTGGTTATACTGTGGAATGTGGTCACTGTTATTCCTAGCTAACAGACAAATGCAGGTGTAATTCAAAACTTAACAAAAGTTTTAAAAAAAATATATATATTCAAATTCACTGGGCAATCTTCTAATTTTGTAGACTGTCACTGTACTTCCTTTGACAAACTCTCAACAAATCTTGTCATTAAATATGACACATATCTACCTTAAACAGTCCCAGGAGATGGAGACTGTTTTTTTTTCACTCTCTAATTTAAAGTTTAATCATAGTAAAAGGAGACTTGAGTCTGAGTGATACATTTAGGTATATATTGTATGCTCCCATATTGTCCAAAATTGGATTTTATGGGATTTACAATGGAGTTATGATAACCCATGATAATACCATGACTTTTGATAGGTATAGAGCATGTTACTTGGAAGTATGTGGGCTACATCCTTTGAAATTCAAGCTGCTGACACATTATTTGGATGCAATATAAATAATTGCCTCCTGCAGTCGCCTGTATATTTTATGCGTCAGTTTAAATCTGATCAAAACATTTAAGCAATAAACACTTATGGCTATAACGTCACAGAACACCTTGCCCAACTGTAAGATCTCTGCCCCGAGTCCTGAATCTTTCAAGGCAAAGCTCTGTCAGTAAATTAAACGACATGTTTTTATTTGCACCTGTATATAAATTTCACCCAGTTTTTGTTTTTGTTATTAAATTTTAAAATTGTTTTCATGCGCGCACTCCAAAAATGTGGCAGGATAGTCAACCAGTTGACAGTGGCCGCTTACTGGAAGAAGAAGAAGAAGTTCCCAAATTGCACCGAGTACCCAATACACCGTATAGCTATTCCCGCTTGACCCGAGAATCTGTCCCGCTCGAACTTTTGACGTCATGCAACAATCACTTTTCCATTGTGGCGTCAGATATTTTCTATTATGACGTCAAAATTTTACGGGAACTTGTGTGATGTCCAGTAATGGCGGATAAATAGCGATAAGGTGTATTTGCACCTATTCAACAAAAATAACTGCGGAAATCTTACAAGTTTTCTTTGAGACTAAACAATTTGCATTGTTATGATATGACATTATACATGTCTTTCAACATCGGTTAATATATTTAAATATACACAAATCGTTCACAATGAGAATATATCAACAAATGAAGCATTCCCGTGAAAAAGTAAATCTCCGAAAACGTCAGTGGTGTTAAAAATGTAAGCAACTTCACAACTACAAGTTAATTTTCATGACCAAAATAAATTAAAGTACAAAAAAAAAAGCAATAAAATGCTTCGCCAAGCACAGCCTAATACAACCGCAGATGTAGATTTAGCATATAAAAAACACCAAAAATTTTATGTCAGTTGAAATCAAACATATTTTAATTTTGGACTCTTCAAACTTTAATATGGACTAATTCGAAAACAGGTATCAGGTGAGCCCGAACATTTCTATTCAGCAGCAGTCTCCAACTACATATCTCCTTAATTTAATATGATAGTCCCACAAAAATGTTGAAAAATTATGTGTACATTTAAT